TGCCAAAGAAAGAAAGAAAAACTTTGAGTGTATGGCAAAGTTGATTAAAACCTCTTGACTCAATGCGAATGCTTCCATGTCGTTGAAATCCAGCAAGGTCATTTGGCATCGCTTGAAACTTTTCAGCGACATCTGCGAGGCTTAAAGTGTAAGCTCTCCAGCCAAGCATTGGAACATTGTCAAGGATAACGGAAGAAAGAATCCCCTAAACACTCGAGGAAAAAAAGAGTGAACTTTACTTCTCGAAGAAAAAGAAAAAACCAGACCTTTTGGTCGAATATGAATGGTCCATAGTTGATACGTCCCATGTTTTCCACCTACAAAGACGTGAAAGTTTTAGAAGTAACTCCACTGGGGACAAATTTCTAACCAAAATGTAGATTTCCATTCCAGCCGATGATCCATCAGGAAGTTGTAGCGAGGAATTGGACCATCTTTGCAGCGTTCCTACGAGTCTCAGGCTTTGAGAGCTCTTTCCAACGTAAACTTGAGCTCGATCATGAATCTGTTCATGGTATCGATGAACCCATACTTCTAAATCTCGAATCAGGAGCTTACCTTCTTTATTTCAAGGATGGATCCTGGTTTTGCATGAGACGGGAGTCTGGATCTATAAACGATGAATCCAAAACTCTAGAAAAAACAAAAACTTAAAGATATTGGTCCAGCACGAAACAAGCCCGAGTTACCTGGTTGAGAAGCTCCATGGTCACCGGAGCTTGTTGAAGATAGAATTCATGACTGAGAGACTGGAGGACTTGGAAAAGATTTGCGAGCTTTTGCAGCACGACAGTCCCAGTGTTTCGTCTCGATGGAAGTTGCGGCGGATCTGGAAGTGGAAAGTTGACATAGCTCGAGAGCACTTCACGAAATCCTGCAAGGAATATAAGAAACAGCACAAACACAATAAGAGCTCAAACTCACTCCAAAACTTTTCTCCAAGATCTCCACCTTCCCCAATGGGGGCGTCCTAGAGTTTCCTGGAAACAATTCTCAAACCATGGTTTAGAAAGAGCGGGCAGCTCACATAATCATAGGACGTGATATCCGGCTGATAGATGGTTTCTTTCCCCCCAGTATTTGCACCGCTGAAAAATCCAAAGTTGGAGCCTCCGTGAGCCATCTAAACAAAGAGTTTCAATGCCAAGAACGTAAGCTAGAATGAAAAAACACTCACATAAAGCACGACAGAACCATTAGCACTCAAAAGCTTGTCCAGCTCTGCTGCTGCAACATACGGGCTTGTTGTTGCGAGATTTTCTCCCCAGTGAGTAAGCCAGCCCGTGTAAAACTCACTGCATAGAAATTTCTCAGTGAAGCGTCCAAAAAAAAAATTGGAACTTACGTTGACAATGCAGGAGACTTTCCAGGGGAGTTGTAGTTCTTTTGTAGTGCAAATGCTGCTACAGGATCCCAGCCGGTGGGAAAATCCACAGCTGTAGAAAATTCGAAGGAACAGTAATCCAAAACCACGAGATTTTGATAGAGATACACACCAGCATAAACATCGTCTCTAGATATTGTACCCCGTTGCAGAGCGTCCTCTGTAGCTCCATCAGTCGTGTATCTGCAAGTAGTAAAAGCTGCTTAGTTGAAGAGCTTCGAATCAAAAGAACCCACAGGATTATTTCGTTTCCCAAGTATTCGCGAGCTTCGCTGACAAGGTGGTGGAGATACTGCTTGTCAGATCCGAAAGATCCATACTCGTTTTCAACCTGCGAGAAGAACAGCAAGGAAGTTTAGAAAATCAAAAGTGAGCAAAGGTTGTCATGAAAAAACCTGTAGCATGATCACTGGACCACCACGAGAGTAGAGAAATGGAACGAGTTTAGGAAGAAGAACATTCCACCATTGGTCAACCTGTAACTCGAGGATCTAAGATAGAAGACTCGAAAAAAACAGTAGAAGATTGCAAGAGGGAAGAACTTACGAGCTTAAGGTACGAAGAATCGGAAGTCCTGAGCTTTAGCTGTGGTTGTTTGGACAGTAGCCACGAAGGAAATCCTCCAAGGTCCCATTCTGGAAGCAAAATCTTCGAAAACCTCCAAGCGGAAAAAAGCCAAACCTCCACAAACATATGGTCCCATGCGAAGCATGACCAAAACTTCGAGCTCTTGTGCGAGCTTTAGAAAGGCCTCGAGGTTCACCGGATCGCCAAAGAAGAACTCGCCTTCCGATGGCTCGTGAACATTCCAAGGAACGTAAGTCTGGATGGTGTTAAGACCCATTGCTTTTGCTCGCTGGATCCGGTCTTTCCAGTACTGCGAGAGCATTTTTCTTCGATGGAAAAACAAGAATTCGAAGAGACCGAGAAGAGCTTTACCTCTGGAACGATCCGGAAGTAGTGGATTTCACCACCCAGAATGCGGAAGGGCTCTCCATCCTTGTAAAACGCGTCGTTTTCTATAGAAAAACTTCTGGATTGCTGCGGTGGGGAGAAGAGAGACTCCATAGCTAAACCATCACAGCGAAGAATCGAAGCTTACCACTCCCTGGGAGGCGCCCAGTGTTTGCAGCGCGGCCAACGCCATAGACACAAGCAACATTCGCGTAAGCGCCATTTTCCCAGCGCTGGAGAAGCGCATGACAAAAAATAGAGGAAGAATCAGCCACACCACTTTTGTGTCATTATTTTTAATTGTTAAAATAAAAGTTAATGATTAATATAACATGAGCTGGAGTAGCTCAGTTGGTCAGAGCGTGTGGCTGTTAACCACAAGGTCGGAGGTTCGAGCCCTCCTTCTAGCGTATCAGTGTTAAACATTTTTTATTCTGGTTATGTTTAACAACAAATAATTTAACTATTGAGATTAACAACTTTTCTTTTAGTCTTGCAGTTACACAAAAATTTCAGCAGTATCGCGTCTAAGCCAAGTAACACTTGTAACAGACTAAGAAATTTTCCACCAAAGGCTGGAAGTTTGGAAGCACAAAACCATGGCTGCTGCTGCTTCATCTTCCAGCCAAAGTAGTGGGATCTTCATCGTTTGCCTGTCGCTCAGCCTGCTTCTCATCGTTGGAGTGATCCAACTCGACAACGCGAATCAAAATGGTGAGCCGTCGGCAAAGCTCTCGCAGTTTCTCCTTCGTGGCAACTTGCCTTGCCAATCCGTGCAAGTATCATCCGTGTCCAACACTTCGTCTCGCAACACCGAGCTCCCTGCGCACGACGAGACGAGCGAGAAGATTGAGTTGCTAATGGAGATCTGGAATTCTTCACCATACCTCAAGGAGGACGCCGAAGCTTCGGAGGAAGAGCTCTCTAGCATCAGTCGGCCTCCTCACCTGGAGAATTGTAAAGCTCGTTACATGGAGTATACCAGGATGGACAGCCGGAGTGCCGATGGAGAGCGTCCACACTGGAGTTTGTGGAAAGGCCTCTTGGGAGCTGAGCTCGGAAAGCACGTCCCCTGCGAGGACGATGGAGAGGAGCTCCTCCTCAACAAAACAGCTCTGCTGCAAGGTCCATTTCCTCCCTGGGTGAGAATCCAGAGATCTAGAGTTAGAGGCTGGCTTTATAACTTAGATCCGGTTTGCAAACTGTCCAGATCGATGGAGGAGAGGAAGATAACTTACCATACACAAGACGCGTCCAGCGAGATCTGTGGTTGCATCAGCACCCGAAGAACTGCAGAGATTCATCTCTTAAGTTCTTGTACGTAGACTTCGCAAACATATCGACATGGGGTACCGGAGCACAGCTGAACGCCATCTCGGGAATGGTCGCAGTTGCTATGAACGAAAATAGAGTTCTGGTCCTGGAGTATTTCAACCGAGCCGATCACGAGGGCTGCAAAGGTACGCAAAAGCTTAGGAGAAAGAAAAAGAACAGTAAAGCTTACCTTGGCACTTAGGATCTGGACACTCTCGTTGGACATGCTATTTCATTCCCGAGACATCAAAGGAATGTCGTGAGCGAGCGCTGGAGCTCGCTGCTTCGCAGGAAGCGAGAAAGAATAAAACTATCACCGACATGAGCAACTACTGGGGAGGGATAACATGGTTCGCACCCATTCCAGTGTAAGACCGCAGAGAATCCATAATGCAACAGTGTGAAATCTTCTATCTTCCACACAGGATCTGGGGAAAGCCATGGGAGCATCTGCAAGCAACGAGCCAAGTGAATGGTGAGCTCACAGTTCATCACAACCAAATGCACATATGGTGGTGGCGTGCACAGGTAATCGTGCTCTAAAACGAAAGTGAGTATGAAGTGCTTGATATCAGGCCATCAGATATCTTACTCGATATCCAAGCGAATACCTGTGCGTACTTCTCAACCGTGCTCGTCACGAAGCGTTTGGCCGTGCGGCTGCTGCGTTGATCGTCGACACACTTCCCAAAGAGTGGCCAAAGGTCTGGAAACAATCAGAATAAAGCTTGGTTTCAAGGAAGTATAAGCATAGCTTTGATGCCTTACAGGTTGAAAGTTCGAGAAGAAATATCACCGCCATGGAGAAGCTTGTGTGGAGCAACCATATCCACAGGCCATGGGGTCCGAGGCCCCTGGTAAGTGTTCACGTTAGACAAGGCGACAAGGGCCGAGAAATGAAAATCTTCGGCTTCAAATCTTATATGGAGCTTGCTCAAAACTTACGTGGTCGCTTTCCTAATGCCAAGCACATATGGCTTTCAACGGAGATGCAGGTACGAGAAAAAACTCCAGCTTGATAAATTCCAAATGAATCTCCCGCAGAACGTCGTCGACGAAAGTAAGAACTACACAAAGTGGAACTTCTACTACACGACCATTAGAAGACAAACCGGAAGCACGACGATGAAAGACTACGAAACCGGCCTGGGAAGATGGAACAGTAGCACCAATGCTTTTGTGAACCTGATGATGGCAGTGGATTGCGATTACTTCATAGGAGCGCTTGGATCCTCCTGGGGTTCCATCATCGACGGACTGCGAAGCACAGGTGGTAAAGCTCTTGCAGGGATTGTAAGCGTCAATCCTGGCCAGTTCTGGTAAGATCAGTACGAGCGACAAAAAAAGCTCAAGAAAGAACAGAGTGTTATGTCAGGGCTTCATTGTCAAAATCAAGCACTACACCTCAGAGTTCATTTTTTTCATCACCCTTGCCATTAACTGACACGAGTTCGGTCTCAAAAATCAGTGTCGCACCACCTGAACATATGCAGAAGTTTTACATCAGAACAAAGAAAACAAGAGAGTGGAAAACAAGGAGTTTTACCTGGAATCTTTGGTGGTTGTCCTTGATCCCCATAACCGAGCTTGGAGGGGATCTTAAGCTTTCTCTTCTCGCCGACGCACATTCCTAGAAGCCCTTGATCCCAGCCTTGACATGAAAGCAATATAAGTTCCAAGCTTCAGAACAAAACTAAGAACTTACCTTGAATCACTTGTCCCTGGCCTAAGGTAAAACCAATGGGATCGCCCCTGGTGTAGCTCGAATCGAAAACGGTCCCATCCGTGAGAGATCCCTGAAAGAAAACTCGTCCAGTGCGATAGAAAAATTGGATACACTTCCTACCTTGTAATGGACCTTCACTTCATCGCCTTTGTGAGCTCGAATTTCGCAAGTCAAAGGCTTGAACTGGCAGGAAATCTCTCATCAGTCCACAAGAAGAAAAAACGAAAAAAAAAAAGAAGAGCCGATCACATACCTTCACTCCGATCTGGAGCTCCTTCACATCACTGGCTTTAGCGATCGCTGCGGGAAAGGGAGGCGAGAAGATCCAAGAGAGCTGGAGCGAAAAAAAACTTTACCTTGAGAAGCCAGCAGCGCTAGCGCCAAGGCGAGAAATAAGCTCGTAGACGCCATAGCCAACCCTAAGCGCGAGCTCTGGTTTTAGAGCTGGAATAACTTTGTTTGATTAACGCAAAGATAAACAATTATAATGAAGTGTGTGTCCTGTGCGAAGCTTCCATGGCTTCCTACTGGCGAAGGGTCTCCACAACGTAGGCCGCGTACAAATCCCTGGAAAACACGAGCATAGCTTTCCAAAGAAAAAAGAGAAAAGAGAAATGCCTACATTGAGTTGCGCACAGCTTCTATGGCTTTCTCCGCGGGAAGGAAGTCTTCCACCTCTACTTGCTTATTCTCGTTCTTCTTGTCTGTCACTCGATCGTGAAATAGAGCGGTAGAGAATCGAAAGAACCAAAGACGATGCAAAGGATACAATCCTCGAAGAACCTGCGAATCTCTGCTAGCCTGTGAGGCGGGAGCTGCTTGATGTCCGTGCAATGCTTGTACTCTGGATCATCAGCGCACACTGCTATGATCTTATCGTCCTTCTCCCCCTGATCAGATAGATGACACTCTTAGAGAAACGCTGAAAAGAATGTAAACACTTTGCTACCTGATCGATCATCGGCATGAGCCCGATGGCTTTGGCTCGGAGAAACGCTCCTGGAAGAACAGGCTCCTGTTCATGAAAAGTTCACTTGGCCGAGAGCGTTTACTAAGACAAAACCAGGGAAAAAAGAAAAAAAGAGATGGAAGCTCACTTGCATGATCACAAGAACGTCAAGCGGGTCATTGTCTTCACACAGCGTGCGTGGAACAAATCCATAGTTGTGTGGATAAACCACCGAGGAATAAAGGACTCGATCAACCTGGAAGAACGACCAAAGCATAACTGGAAAGTAGCGAAAGAAAAGATCAAACTATTCACACCTTGATCAATCCACTCTGCTTGTCGAGCTCATACTTGACTTTGCTGCCTTTGGCGATTTCCACGACCTGGAAAACCGATTCAAGCAATGCTACCAAACAAGAGGATGAAGCTCACGCAGTTAAAAACTAAGGGAGCTCCAGAACCTTGGGGTTTGGCCACGAAACAAGAGGCTCGATCGCGTGAGAAGATCGCAAGAACAGCCTGAGAATCAAGAGAACACGAGACGAGCGTACCGATTTCGAGGTCGTGCCAGGGATGCGCCGCGACGAATCGGTCCGCCATCGCCAGCCAAAATACTTTGCTTGGCTTTGCGTCGACCTAAACGTATGGTGTGGATAAAAAAACAAATGTACTTTCTCAAACGAATTTTTACAAGCAATTTATTCTCCTCCCAAAGAATGGTTTCCTTTTTTCTTTCACTTTTACCGGCAGCTTCTCGAGCAGTAAACATTATCACTCGTGGGAGAAGTGACTGAGGGCCATTCTCTCGATCGCGTTCTATCTTCGCAAACCACCGTCAAGTAGCCTTTGTCAAAGTTATACTGCAGCAAATCCAGAAAATGTGTGAAAGTCAAAAGCAATCATACACGAGCGCGGACGACGACGATTTCTAAGAGACGCGGAGAAAATAGAAAAACAAAAGGAGAGCGAAGAACATACCTCGCATTCAAACGTTTTGCTGCCATTACAATTCCAATGCGACGTAGGAACGCAGCTCAAGTAGTGACACCAGCTACATTTCTTGTTCACGTCAACTTCTTTGTACAAGAGAGCAATCGCGGTCGAGTACCTGGAGAGATTGACAAGCACAGTTGAAGGATCACTCAAGAGAGCAAAAGATGGTAAGAGGAAACTCACCCGGCAACTAAAAGGAGCACGGCAACGATGAGAAGCACGATCTGATAGATCTTGTGTCTCGACTTGACAGGAGCACCGCCCGGCATCCCAGCGTGTCCTTGATGCCGGACCCATCCAAGTTGTGGTCTCATGAGCAGCACGAAGCCGAGCAAAAACCCGGAGACAAATCCTCCGATGTGCGCGAAGTTGTCGACGTGAGGCAAGATGCCCACCGCCAAGTTGATGCCGATGATGATGACCAATGTGATCAACGCGGCAATCTGCAAGCCAAAGCAACGGAAAAAAAAAGAATAGAAGCTTGTGTTAGTCGCAATACGTGCTTGGCAAGGGATCACCACCAAAGAGAGAAAACTTTGAAGCAAGCTTAAGAAGCTACCTTGTTGGAATAGATGGACCAGTTGGTGATGAGCTCCGAGACCATTGCTCCCAAAAGACCGAAGAGAGCTCCCGACGCTCCGACCGAGATACGGTCCTGGATGAACAACGCGGACAGGAGGCTGCCACCAAAACCAGATAGGAGATACAAAAGCCCGATCTTCACTGCAGAGAAAACAAGTTTGAGGCAAAGAGAAGAACTTTAGAAAGATTTTCGTCAACTTACCAAAGCCGAATTCCCTCTCCAGGCGAATGCCGATTAAGAGAAGGCATATCATGTTCGCGAGCAAGTGAAGCACACCGGCGTGTAACCACATGCAAGAGATTAGCCGCCACCCTTGATGTCTTTTCACCACCAGTGTCGAGTTTAATGCCCCCATTTTCTTCAATCTATAGAAGCAGCGATCGATCAGTGAAGAACACACACACCCACACACAAAGGAAGAATCATCCAAGCGAAGAAAAAAAATCAAACGAACCAGGAAGGAAAGACAAAAAAAAAAAAGGAGAGAGAGAGAGAGAAGAACTTACGTTTCGGAGGATGGACCAAGAAGAGGATTGTCCCTGAGCGATTCGAAAGAGAGCCTCTTGAGGAAGGTGAGCCTGCAATTGAACGAGTTCTTGGGGCAATTGTTGACATACATGGTGACAATGAAGACGATGACATTGGCGACGACGAAAAGGGGGATGAGCCACGAAATCCTGGACGCGCGAGGCGGCATCTCCTCATACGAGCTGGAAGCCGGGACGGGATACACTGAGCGCCCCCGGTGGCTCGAGAATGACCCCTTTCTTTCGATGTCGAGAGGAGGAGCCGCCTCCCTTTCCATCACTGCCGCTCCAAATCGATCGCCCGGCCCCGAATTAGATCACACTACCGAGCTGAAAATCACCCAGCGCGCGCGGTCAATCGCTCGCAGATCCCACCAATTCCAAAAACCTAGCTCGGAATGCCGCCATAGCTGCGAGGAACAAGTCTCCCATATCGGGACGGGAGTATTAGAGCTTGTGCTGAGTCAGCAAACAACACGGTGTGACGCACCATCCACGCGTCGTGCCACGTCGGCTCCTAACTAGAGGAAGAAAAATTTGATCGTTTGATTGATCAAGAGGGTGGAGCTCGCGCTCGCGCTCGCGGCGGGGATGGCGATGGCGCTCCTCCTGCCCTAGCGCCTCCAGCCTCGCATGCGCAGCGGAACGCTTCGATTTCTTTACGGCATTTGCTGCGATCGCCGCGATTCTCCTTGAGGCAGCGCTGGAGGGCGTCCGTGTCGCAGATTACCTTGTTTCTTGGCTCCGCCGATGCTGCTGGCGCTCGCGCTGACACTGCCGCTGCGCCATCTCGATCCGCCATAGCTGATTCTAGGTCTTCTTGCAAGAACCGGTAAAATATGTGGAAATTCGCTTTTCTTGACTTGGCTGATCGATTTGCTACCTGCATTCTTGCGTAGGAATGGAAGAGCTTGTGGCGAAAATCCGTGAAGCAGAGGCTTTGGCACTGCGGCTGAAAGAGAGGGAGCTCAAGAAGGAGATCAAGAAGCCACCTCCTCCAACATCAAAGAAAAAGGTATGCGGTTTCCCTTTTGTGGAGATTTTGCATGCAATGTGAGAGTGTAGGAGGAGTTTCCGGAGCACGGAGACTGGCTTGACGCTTTCCGGAGAAACCTTGGAGCTTTGGATCGCCGCTTGGTTGTTCTGAGCCTCTTTGATGGAATCGGCGGCACTTGGGCTGCTTTGGATCGTCTCGAAGTTCGGTACAAGGGATATAGCTCTGAGATTGTAGGCGCTGCTTTCTCTTCTGTGTTCCTTCGCGTGCTTACGTTCTAACGCTGGGCTCTCTTTGCATTTCCAGAATCCTTACGCTGCGCGCGTTCTCAAAGCCAAGTTTCCAAACGTTACACACCTGGGAGATGTAAAGGACATTCGACGAGGAGACATTGAGGAAGAGATTGATCTCGTTGTTGGTGGTTTCCCTTGTCAAGACTTGACCTCTATGGGCAAAAGGGATGGGTAAGTTCGAAAGCATTGTTTGCATTTTCACTGCGACTCGCTGCTAACATGAGAGCGCAGGCTGCATGGCTTTCGCAGCCGTCTATTTTTCGATATGCTCCGTATACTGCATCTCTTTCGGCCCCGATGGTGTGAGCCTTTCCTCTTACCACCTTTTTAAGCAGTGTTTCTTTTCAGGTTCTTGGTGGAGAATGTGGCCTCCATGACATGGATAGACCGAGAAGAAATATCCAAGTATCTCAACTGTCTTCCTATTGAGATCGACTCCCAGGATCTAACAGCCAGCAAGCGCAAGCGTCTGTATTGGACAAACATCCCGCATCCAGAGAAGCTGCCTGACGTGAGAAATCACGCATCCAACCTTTTGCAACATGCTCTTGACGACGCGACGGCTCTGGAAGAAAAGATCGGGGTATCTTTCTACTTTTGTCTTCTCGTTGCGTGCTAACTTTCAGCACTTGCCCAGTGTGTCATGACGTGTAACTATTACGTGGGAGGATTTGGACAACTGCAACGTGTCTTTGACCGCAAAGATGAGGTGCTGAGATATGTCACCGTAACAGAACTAGAGAAGGTAATGGGGTTCCCTGCTGGACACACTGACATCGATTTTGGTAATCTAGACGACTTCGTGTAAGTTTCTTTTGTTTTATCTTATTTTACACTGATGACAAAAGATATGAATTCGTAGGCCGTTCGCATCCGAGCAAACTCCTAAAAGGAAATGCAAGCTTGATGACAAGGCTAAAACCATTCGGTGGAATCTAATTGGCAATAGTTTTTCTGTAAGTGTCCTTGCCGGATTTTGTGGCATTTCTAATCTGTTCTTCTCACTGTAGGTTTCAGTAATTTCTTACATGCTCAGTCCACTCATGCTACCTTCGACTTGGGAAGCCCATGTAATCTACAACTTCTCTCCAAAATTCAGAGAGAGCGAGTGCGCCGTACTCGAGACGGGCGAGGTACGACAAGCGGGAAATGCCGTCTTTAGTTCTCATAATGTCTACGTTTGGCAGCTTTGGGCACTTTATAACACCAGGTCACAACCAAGCTGGTACGCAGTTATTCTATCCAGGAGTGGAGATCGCTTCGACACATTGCAGTCCAAGAAAAAGAAGAAAGGGCTGCAAATTCACGTGTAAGTGTTTAAAGCTCTGTTTGGCGTTACGCAACGATCTTTCCTGGTTTTCTATAGATGCTTCCTGGAGCTGGACACTGGCTTTCTTGCTGCAAACGACGACCAATGGAGCCCCATCCGCGGAACCGGACAATACAACAGGATTGACAAAGCTGATCTTCAGACATCCTGGGTCACATTTTCTCACAGGTCAATAACTCCTACTGCTGGTTTTAGAAGCCTACGACAAGTTTGTTTTTTCTTTAGAATGACCACCTTCAAGAAGCTCGGAGATAGCTACTTCATCTACCCTGGAGAGAATGAAGTCTGGGCAGTTTTTGATCGCGATTCAAGCCGGCCTACGCTGTACTATGTGGTACGCTTTTTTTTTTTTTTTAACTTCCATGTTATTCATTGCTCATAGAGTTGATTTGAGCAGCTTGTTTTAACCACGGAGATTGACTGGAACTTGGTAACGAGGACCCCATCCGGGGTAGAAGGATTTGCGTCTCGCTGTAGACTTTTGCAGCAGACAAGTGCTTCAGACATTTTCAGGTTCTTCTTTCTCTGTTTTCTTTTCACTCAAACGTAGCTTCGCCCGCAGACTCACTGGCACGGAAGTGGCATTCAAGGATCTGGCACAGTTTTGTTTCAAGGTGCCATACTACTTCAAAGGCGAGGGGAGCGTCTTTAAGCTGGAGCTGAGCAAAACCGGCAAGTATCTCAATCACAAGGTTGGGAGAAAGAGGAGGCGGAAGAAAGGGGGCAGCGACGAGGAGGAAGAAGATGAGAGCGAGTCGGACGAGATGGAAGAACAAGAACAAGGCTCGTGATCACACGGAAGTCGTACGGAAAGAAAATATCTTTGTACGCTAAAACCCCCTAAACCCTACACTCCAAAATCCTTGGCTATGGCGTCTATCGCGTCGAGGTTCACGCCGCTGCTGGATCGAGTGCTCGTCGAGAAGCTCGTGCCACCTGCCAAATCCGTGGGCGGCGTTCTTCTCCCGGAGACGCAGAAGCACGTAAGTAGTTGATCGATCGATCATGGGCGCGTTTCTAGGGTTTGAGCGTTGCTTTGGCAGATCAATGCCGGGACTGTGGTCGCGGTAGGCCAGGGCGTGTACAACACCGACGGCGAGATCGTGCCAAATCTCTGCAAAGTGGGCGACAAGGTTTTGCTCCCGGATTGGGGCGGTGTGGAGATCAAGCTCGAGGACAAATCGTAAGAGTTTGCTTTTGTGTTTTCTCTTGCTCTCCTTGGCTCATCTCGTTTTGTCGGTCGATCCAGATACGAGGTCTTCCGCGACAAGAGCATCCTCGCGATCATGAGCGACTTTGAGTAGGATTGGTGATCACCCAAAGGTTTTGTTTCATCATTTTTTTTCTCTTCTCGCATCGATCTAGCATCCTCTCACTCTTCTAGATCATGGTAGCAACTAGGATAATTCTCCTCCTCTACTCTGGCTAGAAGAGGTGAGAGAGGTTGCATAGATGTCAGACAATACAGTGTAAGGAGCTCCATTCCCAGCCACTGTAGCTCCTCGATCGGTATCGTAGTGGACGCATTGAGCAGCGCCCCCCACGCCACTAGATCCGGCACGAAAGGCAGGAAGGGCTATGACGCCATAGAATATCATGCTACTTTTTACTGATGCTTACGTTTCCTTGACGAAGTTTCTCACAACTACCGTCTAATCGAAGCTCACGTAATCCTGAGAGCTAAGTGACCTACGTTTCCTTGACGAAGTTTCTCACAATCTCACGTAATCCGAGATGATTGTTATACAGATAATCCTTAGAGCTGTCTAGAAACTAGAAAGTTTGGAAAATTAGAACGGCTAGTGCTTGGCGTCTTTGCACTTTGGGGTAAGCTCGGGCAAGATTGTTGGGGGAAGTGTGGAGAGATCAAGCAGGCTTGCAGGATTTTCGAGGGGGTCCGTAGCAGACCAAGAGAAACTCCTATCCAGGTTTTGAAGAGTGATTGTTGACTTTTTTGTGTCATTTTTCATATGTAACTAACATATTTTGTTTCTGAAGATAGTTTAAATTATGCTATTGGAACTCTTCAAGGTCAATATAACACTATTGTTCAAATTGTTTCATTTTCACATACTCTATTATACAAAATGATTGTAATTTCATTCAGTTAGACGACACAATGTAATAGATACAAAAACGTATAATCACCAGAATTGTTTAAGATGTATTTATAAATGAATATTGAGCATTTTATTTGATTGATTTTTTTTATATTAATACTAATGTTGTGGTTATCCAATAATTATCAATCAACTCTTTAGTATTATTAAGCATATATATATAAAATCTAGATATCAATTATTACGAGATTTTTTTTATATTTGGAGGGATGAAAATATATATACCAACTTTAGCAATACCATTAAGCAAGTTGTTTTAAAGGGAGTTTTATTTTGTATTTCCATATATAAGAAATGCCATAGCCCAAGAATTTGATCCATTGGTTTTTATGGTTAGTTAGGGGCATTTCACAAAATACGTATTACTTTAATGAGAAACATTATTGATTGATCTAGAGTTCTTGTTAATAGTACTAATGTAAGTCACATTGGAGAGATGATAGTTATATTTGATATTACAAGTTGTGATTGAGTATTTTTATCCTGAGATCATTCTCACCAGCTTATTAAGCTTTCCTGGGAGAATGATAAAGACATCTTAAATAATATTCAAGTAACTATTTTAAACATGAGTTCCTGGAGCAGTTGAGTTGAGAATCTGGCCACCCTCTCATTATGTACAACAGAGTAGCCTTTCCTTATCTCATCCTGGTATTTAGGAAGCAACCAAAAATCTTCACTCTGTGTCATAAACTTGCACATGGAATTATCAACTTCAATGGTGCTCACTTGCTCCACAAGCCACAGTGTGCCACTTCTGGAACTTGGCACAGTGCTACTCTATTCCAGCCTCAACAGCTTGTTTAATTGCAAGTTCCTTTGCTCATTTCAAGTTAGTTCTATAGTAGTTCCTCATTTTGGGTCACCACAGTGCATTCTTCAAGCTTAATTCAAAGCTAAGAATCATGACAAGGCCATTCACCTATTGAGACCCTTACCAATTGGACATTCGCAGCTGTTGGATTAAACAATTTTATATCTAAGAACACTCCACCCACATGTTTTTAGGCCACCCAGGGTCATTATTGGGGGTAATATGCAACTAGCCTCCATCTTAAGTAATAATCTTGTCAGAAACTTGATGTCCATACTTGGCATATGGTCAGACTTCTTGGTTTCTCTTTCAGCATGGACTACAACCTTGCTCTTCATGTGGATGCTGGTGGCTCAAATGCATTGGCGACAATCATATTCTTTTTGAGATCATCATTGACAATTAGACCCAACCTAATCCAACATCCTAGGTGCTAAAGAAGACACTAAGTAACAAAAACATAAGAAGGTGACATGCAAAAAATGAAAAAGATAAAGTTCAAGAATAAAAAACAATCAACAGCAGATTAAGATTTTTAAACTGTTAAGAAACAAATCACAACCATTAATAACTATAATATATTGATGAACCCTAAAACATAAAAAATGTTTATAGAAGAAGTGGCGGCCGTTTTGAGGGACTGCTCCAGTTGCCGAGATTTGCATCTTGGCCGGCAAATTCACTCCCAAATCCATGCCAGCCACTACAAGAGCGATCGATACCTTGCTAATCTCCTCATAGAGATGTATGGAAAGTGTGGGAGCGTACAAGATGCCCAAGCTGTCTTTGATGATCTCGCTAGCCCCAATTCCCATTCTTGGGCATTGCTCATTTGTGCAATTGCCAACAATGGGCATCTTGATCATGCTGAAATGGTCCTTGATTCTATGCCCGAGACCAATGTCGTAGCCTGGAATTCACTTCTTACTGCATTTTCCAACCACAGCCATTTTGACGAGGTGGAGCGCTTCTTTTCTAGAATGCCAGTGAGGGATACTGTATCTTGGAACGCAATGTTGGTAGCAATTGCCAGAACTGGGCATATGATAAAAGTCAAAGATTTCTTTCAAAAAATTCCTAATCCCAACACTGTTTCATGGAACATTCTCCTTCAAGCCCATCTTGATAATCAAGAGCTATCTATACAAGAGGTTGAAAAATTCTTCTTTGAAGTCTTTCCTAACAAGGACGTTGTTTCCTGGACAACTATGCTAACGGCATATGCCCGCTCTGGGTATCTTGAGAAGGCCAAAGAAACCTTTGACCGCTTAATGCCACGTTGCAACCTGGTGACGTGGAACTCTCTCCTGCAAGGTTTTGCAGATGCGTGCCACGTGGATGAGGCAAAGCGTTTGTTTGGCCAGATGCCTCTGCGAGACATTGTCTCCTGGACAGCTATGCTTACAGCATATGCCTCTTGCGGGCATCTTGAAGATGCCAAGCGTGTGTTTGAGAACATCCCTGCAAGGAATGTAGTAACGTGGAACGCAATGCTTCAATCGTACGTCCACGCCAGGCGCCTGGAATCTGTCAAGTGCATATTCGACTCCATGCTGGAGCGGGACATTGTGACGTGGACGACCATGCTCGTGGGATATGCCTGGGATGGCCAGGTGGACAGTGCCACGTTGCTCTTCTTCACAAGAATGCCAGAGTGGCACATCGTGTCATCGACCGCAATGGTGACGCTATATGCCCAAAACGGGTATCTGGAGGATTCCAAGTGCGTGTTTGATTCTATGCCTGAGCACAATGTGGTGTGTTGTACAGCACTTATGCTTGGATATGCCCAGGCTGGGTATATTCAAGAAGCAAAGAAAATATTCGACAGAATGCCAAACCACGACCTCATCTCGTGGAATGTTTTAGTGACCGCTTATGCCCAAAACGGGTATATGCAAGACGCATCAACTTTGTCCACTCTAATGCCCGCCAAAGACACGTCGAGCTGGAACGGGATGATGGGGGCTCTCATAGGCACCATGAATCTTCACGATGCCAATAGCATCTTTGCGGAGATCCCAGACAAGGACAAGTTCTCGTGGAACATCGCCATAACCGGGTGCGTGAGGAACGGTCGCGTGAGTGCCGCGAGAGCCCTTTTCGAGAGGATGAGCGAGTGGGATCTAGTCTCGTGGAACAACTTGATCGCGGCGTATGCCCACTACGGGCATAGCAGCGACGCCATCGAGCTCTTCCAGAGAATGGAGCTCCATGGCGAGAGCCCCGATGAGATCTCGCTCGTGAGCGTTCTTACCGCGTGTAGCCGCGGGGGGCTGCTCGAGAGGGGCCATTCTTACTTCCTCTCGATGAAGGAGAGGCAGCTGCGATCTTGCAGAGATCACTACTGCTGCATGGTGGATTGTCTCGGTCGATCGGGCCACTTGGGCAGTGCGGAGGAGTTGATCCATTCCATGCCTTTCATGCCGGATCCAGTGGCGTGGGGCGCACTGCTCAATGCGTGTCGTCTCCACAGCGATGTCGATCGAGGAGCTAGAGTGGCAGAAAACATTCCCGGGAATGGAGCTCCTTACACTCTGTTGTCTGAGATCTATGCAACCTCTCACATCTCTTCTCGTAGAGAGTTCTTGCCTTTCCACCAACGAGGAAAACGCAGTGATTTGTAGCAGCTTCTCGGAGTCGACCAACGATCTCGGTGGCCAGCGCTTTCTTCGAATCCTCGAGCCTGCGATGGAGAGGGCTGCACCGCCTTGGCCGGAGTGGTAAAGGACGCCACTTCTACGTCGCGCACGATACCATCGAGCATGGATCGATTCCCAAAATCCGTCCAGCTCGTGCGCGCCGGATTCATTCTGGCCGTCAAGGAAGAAGACGCCCCAGAATACTAGCTGACGAAGAGCAAGCACAGTTTTGCATTTTGATTATCCTCCTCCTTACTCTTTTTTTTATCCTGTAAAGAAAGAAAACGAATTTGGTTCGCATTGGAAATTTCTCCACTAGCAAGTTGATTTTGTAAGCTTAGCATCCGATTGAAGAGTCTTTCTTCGATTGTTACTCTCTCTTTTTCTTCCATTGAAAACAGTTAATCCTTCTTTTCTTCAAGGAAGAAATTTGGTTCTTATTTCTTTTTTTAGTTCTCTATCCTATATTTCTGGAGATACAAGCTAGCTTTTTCCTCTGATTCGTACACCATAAAAGAGCAGGGAAGCATATATGTTTCGTGCCAAGCAAGAGAGATCCTTACAAAGGACCAGTGAGCAAAGGCTTCTCCAATATCCAATCTTTGTCACTATTGTCAGGCAAGCTCGTGCCAAACAACTCGCCTGTATCTTATATGTTTAAACAAGATACCAAGTAATTAATGTTTTGTTACTACATTTTTATCAACTTTATCTTTGGGTAACAATGGGAGGATTTCGAAATGGACCGGTTAATTCTCTGCCACAGCACTTTCAGCCTTCCATCACTTCCCCCTTCCATTTTCCCACAAAATCTTGTAAGTCCATTGCCATTGTTTGATAGAAATTGGTACAATATTCAACATAAAATATGGTTGACTATTCTAGGATATCTTACCATTTAACAGTTGTTCATTTAGATTATTTTTGTGTTTATAATTATGATAATGTTTAAGATTTTTTAATATTTTAAATTTACTAGTCCAGGACTAAAGGCAGCCTTTGCCTTTTGGATAGAGCAAGTGAATAAAAGGAACAGGTT